ATGCCCCAAACTATCTGGTCACACATTCTATTAGTAAAGCAATTTGGGAAATACAGTTTTCCTTATAAATGATGTTTATACTATTATTAGCTAACAATCACAATAAACAATTTTAAAATTGTTACTGACTGATCATTCATGGGCTCACTGCTAAATCCCAATGGTGTTAAAATTACAGGAACAAACTTCCCGTTCATTGTCCACATCCAAAATTTCACATATTGAGACATCTGTTTATTTTTCTATTAAAAACACACAATTTATAAAGGGTAATCGCTGGCAACAAAACACAACAAAAACCAATTGCATTAACTGGAACGGAGCACGTACTTGGCCAGCTGCTTCTCGGCGTCAGCACAGAGTTCCAGCAGCCCCATGAGGACGGCAGACACATCCATGTAAGGCTCCCACACGGTGAACCCGCGTCCAATCAGATCGATGGCTGTTCTCCGGATGGTACTGTGCGGAGGAAGCTTGGGGCTCGGCGGCTGGAGCAGAAGAAACGTCAGTGCCTTGCCTAAAATTACAAAATAAAAGGCAGAGCAATAAAGTAATATTACTTTTGTGATGTTTTCTTTCAAGCATATTTTCAAAATGTAAACCACTTTGGATTTCTTTCTTTTCTTTAACTGAAAAAGGGTTTTGAACAGAGAGATAGATTATGAGAGATCTTGAGTTTACAGTATGTGACTGAGCATTATGTAGGTGACAATATCTCATACCATATTCTGAAGTGTTTTAATTCCATAAAAAGTACATATAAATAAGTATACACAACTTCAAAACCAATCAGTGATCCTAAATTTCCAATGTTTCTCCCTACTAAGCATTTTGCAAGATGCAGATGGCTTCAAATGATAGAATATGGGGTCTCTTCACCTTTCTTCTGCATCTAACAGAATTCACATGTCAAACACTTCCCACCGTGACACCTCTCATTACACACAATGTTCACCCACAGGTGAGGGATGGAGAAGGCAGAGCGTGTAACGTGAAAAAGTGTTCCCTCCTAAGTGTGTACCTCCTGCACTTCCTGGTGTTACTGAGTACGAGGGTGTCAGGTGTGCAGGAAATTCTTCACGCAGTTGGTTAAATTAAATGCAGCTTGCCCAGCCAGTGTGGCTCAGTGATGAGCATTGACCTATAAACCAGGAGGTCACGGTTCGATTCCCGGTCAGGGCACATGCCCGGGTTTCGGGCTCAATCCCCAGTAGAAGGTGTGAAGGAGGCAGCTGATCAATGATTCTCTCTCATCACTGATGTTTCTAGCTCTCTCTCCCTCTCCATTCCTCTCTGAAATGAATAATAATAATAAAAAAAACCAAATACAGCTCATATGATGTCTAAATCTGTTGAAATGATCTAGATTTTAATTAACATGTCCTACTTTCTGGTGAAGACAATGCTGACAGTTTGTACACATGTGCCCAGTGGCACTTAAGCTGCAGAAGCCCATCTTCAAAAGGCATTCTGACATTTAAAAAAGAAAAGCACGAGAGACTGTGAAGAACAAACTGCAATTTAGAAGAGTTGTTTTTTTTTTTTGGTGTGTTTGTTCTTTGAGAGGAAGAGACAAAAACAGTTTATAAATCATCCAATAGTAGACTGGGTAGGGGAGCACAGGCTTCAGATTTAAGACAGAGGATTAACCACAGTTTCATAACTTATTAGGGGCAGGCTTAGGAAGGGACTCAGTGAGCCTCAGTTTCCCTGCCTGTAAAATGGGGATAATAATAGTTAACTCTCATTAAGCATCTGAGTGTGAAATGAATGTTGCCATAGCGGCAGTCAGGGCTTAGTATGAAAAACATGTTGAGCTGGTTTGTCTTCAAAAGGAGGAACGTGGCATATAAACTTCAGTGCATTCAACAACGACAAACACTTATGTTATGGCCGACTGCTGAGTGAGAATGGTTGAAAAGGAAGCGAAGAGAGAGAAAGGGCATTGCAGAGCCAGGACAAGCGTCCGTGGCTGCAGTCTGTAAGTTAGCGGATCTGAGCTTCTTCTCTGTACAGACCCTTCAAGAATCTGTTGAAAGCCATTGGTCCTTTTCTCAGGCAACTACATACATATACTTATCTACCAAATTCTGCAGAAAATATCTCAGGAGGCCATGGCCCTTGGTCTAACACTGCCTGCAGTAAACAAAAAAGGAACCTATATAGGGAAAGCCTCCTTGAGAAACCATCGCCCGACTCATACTTCATTCATGCATGCATTTGTAAATTTTACTCTCACACTTAGCCATGTAAATGTATGGAAAGCTTCAAGTTTTGTGGATGACAAGAATATACACTCCTTTAAAAGGGTGATCTATTGTTCTCCATTGTCTGACAGCACTTGTGTGCCCTGTACCACAGGATGTTTTTAAATGCAAGCATTTCTGCGCACTTCCCTTTTCCTCAGCAGGTGCCTTGAGGGTAGGACTGTGTTTCATATAACTTTGTGTCTCCCCAAACACCAAGCACAGAGATTCGCACACATTATGGACCTAAACGGGAAGATAGGTCTGCCTTTACGGCATGCACATTCCTAATGCAGCTCCCTGCCCCAGCTTGTCAGAATAATACTTCAAAATGTCCACAAGTCTACCACTTTCTGTGTCTTCTTTACTACTAGGGGCTGCAGACAAACCTCCCCCGCTGTTCCCTGTGGACGCCCCGAAACACCGCGGCGATGGCTTCCAATCTAAGGGCTAGGGCTCCCTGGAGGTGTATCCTGGGTAAGTGATATTGCAAAGGGGAAGTGAAGTTCCCTGAGTACCATGTTTTATAGCATTTCAATCATCATTTTCCTTAACTGCCCTCTCCCCGTTCTGTATTCGTGACAGGGGAGAGCACTCTGGCAATAGAGGGACCCGGCTGGTTTTTCTGCGGTGGGAACTCTAGAGGCAGCTTCCTCACCACTCTGACAATTTCTTTTCTGGTGAGCAATAATAAACAATAAGTGGCCGATTTCTTGCTATTTTCCATCATTTTCCTGACAAAGTTGGAAGCGCAGCCTAGGGGATGTGATCACTTGCCCTCCGATGAAATGACAGAGAAGGGAAAACAGTAAGGGTTCTCTGAAAGACCCCTGGCCCTGTATGGCCACAGCAAAGTGTGACCCTCCCCCCCCTCAGAGCGAGGATGCCCAGCCCAGCAGGAAATGCAGGTTCCCTGTGGCCCGTCACCCCTCCCCCTAAATCACTTCTCGCAAACAAACATCTCCTCCAGCATCTCTCCCTCTTTAGTTCTCCTCCAAGTCTCTGGTAACACAGGGCACAGATCCCCTCAGCTCTAGCAGGGCCAGGGTGGGGCATCGAGAGAAGCAGAGAGAAAAATGGCCTGTTTAACACACATTTTAAATCTTCTAGTCCATGTATGTTTTTCTCCAATGATCTGTTTTGGAATTATAAAGACATATAAATGTTAAAATTGCACATCTGGCCCTACCTGGTTTAGCTCAGTGGATAGAGCGTCGGCCTGAGGATTGAAGGGTCCCAGGTTCGATTCTAGTCAAGGGCACATGCCCGGGTTTCGGGCTCTATCCCCAGTGGGGGTGGCGGGGGGAGGGCATGCAGGAGGCAGCCAATCAATTATTCTCTCTCATCATTGATGTTTCTATCTCTCTCCCTCTTTCTTCCTCTCTGAAATCAATAAAAATATTTTAAAAAATAAAATAAAATTCCACATCTGTCTCTGACAACTTATTCCGAACAAGACATGTAAATAATAAAAGATGAAGAGGATTTACAAGTTAAATCTTTGGTTTACAGCCTTGTTGATGAATAGGATCCTTACGACTTTAATGCTACCAGCATTAATGACACTTATGTTCTGAAAAAACAATCTAGGAAGCCTAAAACTTCAAACTTCCTAATCACATATTCTTGCTGACACCAAGGAACCAACCTTTAAAAAATGGTATGATAATAAAAAGGGATAGATAAATGTATGCTTTCCTCAACTTATATTCTCAAATTTAGGGTTGATTTAACTTACAATTCCAAATAATGTAGGTGTTCTGCAAAATGGACCATGGTGATGAAAAACCTAAAATTAAGATGACAGTACCTTTCCTATTGATAGAAAAAGTCTCATGACTAGAATTTTGTGAATTTGAACTTTACCTGTCAGAATTTTCTTTAAGTGTTTGGTACCCAATAAAGGTTGTATTTTAACATGTATAGGATAGACTCTACATTTGCACAGAAATACAAATTGACTTATTTTACATAAATGCCCCCCTTCAGAATTCCATAGTGTCTCACTGAGTAAGCACGTGGGCAACAATCGCCATCAGAACTAACTCCTTCATAAAAACTCTCCAGTAGCAGTATTAAAAAGTTCAACAAACCGGCCTGACATTCCTTCAAGGCTTTCCACAATTTTGTCCCAATCTATCCATCCAAAGATTCATGTAATACCTCTTCTTAGAGCATTGCTATGTTGTACTAAGTACTGGGGAATCAAACAGGAATAACACTCAGCTCTTCCCCTCAAGGAAATACATTCTCGCTCAGGAGATAGGTGAGCAACCAGGTAATTTGAATAAATTATGAACAGTGTTATATTTATAAGCACATCTTATTATGACAGAACTTAACCGAGGCACTGAACCCCATCTCAGGGATTTGAAAAGGCTTCCGGGAAAGGTGACCTCTATACCAAAACCTAATGCATAGGTAGAAATTAGCCACTCAGAGAGGAGGAGTAGGGAAAGAAACCACTCCAGGCAGAGAGAAGAGCACGCCTAAAGACCAGGTGATGAGCAAGAATATAGCAGGATCAAGGGATTATGCAAAGTTCAACATGGCTGAAAATGTTGTTGGGGGAGGGAAGGGGTTGCGGCAATGGCAAGGGAGAAGGAGCGCAAGGTGGATGGAATGTAGCGGTGAGACATGAGGCAGGACAGGTTCGTAGAGCCTGATCACAAAGGCCATCAGTGCCATGCGAAGAGTCTGTTTATTCTGGTGACAATGGGGAACCACTGGAAAGTTTTAATCCAAAAAGGAGTATGATCAGATTTTCATTTTAGAAATCAATGTTTAGGCTGTCTTGTGACTAGAAGAGGGCAAGCCCTATTGCCTTTTAATTGTGATCTACTCATCCCCAGCCAAATGGATTAATTAGAATCACAGAATTTTCTAGTTAAAAGGGCTTTGGAAAAACCCGATCTATTCCTATGCTTTGGATGAAATAACTGAGAACCATAGTAGGTAAGAGGCAATATTTTATTCATGACACTCTACCCAGCTATGGATTCAAAACTTATATACTTTATGATTAATCTCTTCCTCCCTCTGAATTACAAAATACATGAAGCTGCTGTTATCAGTGTCTCTACAAAACAGATTAAATAAATTATAGGTTTTATCTTTTCTCATACAATGAGAAGGTTGCTGTACCTTGTTCAACAGCTAAATATAGCCATACTAAGTTCCTCTGATTATCTTGGTTGTAACTTAGTTGAATCATGGTCACAAAATTGTTTACTGTCCACCCAGCACTGCATCTTCCTTACGGGCAGGAAGA